TGTGTTTTTCCAATTTTTGACGCTGTCACCGCTAGTTAATTTTACGTCGACCTGTGAAGTTTTGTTGAAATCGGTTGAAAAATATAGGAAATCCGATCCCATATATAAACGAACACACACACAAACAACCTGGGTTTTATAATAAGTATGATTAAATAATGCCTGCTTAGTCTTTTTATTGTTCTATCTATTTTAATGTATATTTTAATATAGAGAATTTTCTCAACTTGCAGATCGTATACTTTAATGATGCGTTGTTCTGGCAGATCAGACTCGGGAGGTCGTACACAGTAGTATTTAGTTTTTCAGCGCGTCCACGTCGCTAGCGAATGCGACGCACGGTCGAGGTTTACAGCGGGCTTAAAGGCAATACGGTGGAAAAATTGCCTAAGACCCGCCTCGGGACTTCCCTTTTGGGGACACCTCATGTGCCGCGAAATAAACTCATCTCCCTGCCGAAAGTACTGACTGAGGGCTTAAATTTTTTAATACTTCCCCGACATATGCCAAGTAAGTATTACATATCCAGAAGTAGTCCCCCCCATAGTTTGTAGCTTATAGATGACTATTTTACTTGCGGGATCAGTGGTTGGTCTCAAAATAATACTCTAAACTAAACAGCAATTTCAGGTTATGTTTTAGATACATAGTTGAGTGCTCTAGAGAGGCAAATCCTAATTTTTCGTACCTCACTCTCAAAAAGATAAATATGGTAGATGTTATTGGAGTTATAGACACCTGCTGGTAAGGCAAAAAATTGGAAAATACGTTGGAAGATGATTTTTTAACAAATGCTTAATTTTCAAACCAGTAAACTCTAATTAACACTAATAAAAAAACAGAGGGATTCGTGTCGGGATGATTTTAAGCGCTATTCTAACCACAATAGAATCCCTGACAACCGGACTAGGAAGGCCTTCTGGATATGAGGAACTGGTTACAAAATCCGGATATGAGGTGTTATATCTAGATTAAATTAAAAGAACTGAAATCTGGTTTAACATTTATTGTCAATGTTTTATAGTAAACATAATAAGCTAATGGTGAGTGATGTATAACGGAATTTGTTTTAAGGAAAAAGAAATAAATGATGTAATGTTAATGAAAATTCCTTAAATAAAGTATGTCACATGCAAAACATAATGTAACGAAAGATTTTTAATCGCTGTTGCATAATGATTCTTTCTCTTCTAATGTCATTCGCAACTTGTTCCGCATTTCGTTTTGCTTTTGGTCTTGAATTTTTTTTAAACGAAAGACACTTTTAACACTGCGTGAGTTATTGCAATCCTCATAGCTGAATGCTGGCTTTCTTTCCATAAAACTGACAACCTTTACAGTAGCTTTTTTAATTTCAAATCCATATTTCATCACGATCATATTTTTTTTATTTCATTGTTCTTTGTGACAGTGTAAACGCTGGAAAATAGTTTTTTTTTGGAAGATTTTATATCAGACAATGTTGAATTTCTTATGTTGAACTCAACCGTTAGTTACAATGAACTTTCACCAGCGTCTGGTCTGTTTAAAATTTACACTTTTTGTGATAACTCCAAAATTGTTCTTTTCCTCTTATTCCCCTCATCTTTTGCACCAATACAAGCCGTTAGGGTGAAATAAACATAAGTAATTATCCAAAGTAAATTTCTTGAAAAATAGAAATTTCAGATCAGTCAAATATCACCCAAATAGTTAAAATATACAGATCAAAATCATGCCCGGATATGTATATTTCTTTCCTTTCTAGGTGCCGTGTCCTTTTAGGACGTAGGCGATCATGGCTCTCTACCTCCTTCTATCCCTTCCAGCTCTCAACAAGTTCCTTCCCTCTTGTTCCTCCTCTAGACCACGTTCTGTCATCCACTTGCTTAATAATGTATTATATAATGCATAATATATATAATATATTATATAAAATATATATATAATATATAATTATATATATAATTATATATATATATATATTATATTTATATTATAATATAATCCGCTAGGTATGTCATGTATATTATATATAATCCGCTAGGTATGTCATGCGTTGTTTTCCCTTGTCTCTCTTTCCCTCTATTCGACCCGTGAGTATCAGATTCTCCAGGCCCTCCTTCCTCATTATGTATCCCAGGAACTTCAGATGCCGCTTCCTGATGTTATTCTTAACAAGCCTCCTCCTTGTTTGCAACCTCTCTAAGACCTCATCGTTTTTTCACACTCCTTATCCCCCTTCTGTAGAACCACGTCTCCGTCGTCTCGAGTCTCTTCTTCATCTTTCAGGAAATCGTCCAAATTTCCCCTGTCTCGCAATACTATGCGCAGCTTTTGGAATGCGTCCTTGGCCACCCCAATACGCCTACGGATCTCAGTGTCGCACTTACCGTCCTCTGTCATAAAGCTTCCCAGACTGAATTCATTTTCTATCCGTATACAGACTGTTTGCCACCAGGAGAGGTGCTGGCAATGTATCAGAATGCAAAATATTGACGAAAAGTTGCGAATATCCGGTTCAATTTGCAACTACCAGTAAAACTCTAAAAGCGGCTTCGATGGAAAAGTTAATCATTCAATAGTTGGTGGCAAGAAAGAGAAAAGATTACATCGAACAAAAATGTAAAAACATCGCAATAAACGGCTCGTTAAAAAAAAAACAAACAAACAAATGAATCCAATTTATCTTAATAAGAAAACAAGATAAAGAAGATTCTTGTCATTTTATAAACACATAAAAAATGAATTTTCTTCGAATACAAATTTGGAAAATGCAATTTCCGAACGGAAAACTTTTCAACATTACGCTAATTGTTTTTGGCAAATATAAGTTATTGTCAAAAGCACCATTTATACGGACAACTTTCGTATCGTTCCAGGTTTTAATCCATTAAAATCCGCTGTAAAATACCATATTAACTCTAAAATTAAAATAAAGTCCAGTATTTATTATAAGTTTATAGAAAAGGTCCGATTTAAATTAAAAGGGTTCTAAAAAATTTACTATCGATAGGATTCCAGAGTGAGACAGATAGATCTCTCGCCATTCACATAAATACAATAGTAAATACTGTATGTTGGTTTGAATTTGGAGATTCGTCTTCAGCTGTGATAGTCAAAATCTGCATCCGGGCAAGGAGGATCCTCAGACGAGGCTATGTCGAAGAGCAGAATCTTGTCTCGGGAAACAGCTACGGGGAATTTTTGGCCGAGCCTACGGGCTCGGATACCCCACATTAAAGTCGGCTTTGTGCCATTTCTGACCGCGTGGGACGGTTGGTAGATAGCCTGCAGTTGGAGATTCATTGTGGAATTCACTTGACTCACTTCTAGCAGTTGACTACTTTCTTCTATGCGCTGCTGGCGAATCTTATATGTGTTGTTCTTGTCCTAAGTATTATCGTTTATTACCACCCTTCGTGTGATTATTCTGTTCAGTAACCTTCCCTAAGTTACAATAATATATATATATATATATATATATATATATATATATATATATATATATATATATATATATATATATATATGTGTGTGTGTGTGTGTGTGTGTGTGTTGAAATAAGTTATAGAATACCGACAAAATTTTGAAAATAATTGACAGGTGGAAAAACGTTTAATTGAAAGCAGATTTCATGACACGTTTTGCCTTTCTAGTCTTCATCAGATCCAAAGCGAAAGGAAGCGATGTGTTTATGTATATTTTTGTCTATGTTTAAATAGCAAATCACAGGACTTTTTTTTCTAAGCTGGTGTTTCTCGTGATTAAAGAAGAAAGAAAATGAATGTCTTCTCAAATGTCGTTGATACTTATTCTATATCTTTTTTGTTTATAATTCTTAGTTCATGTCGAAAGTTATTAATGTATTTTTCCTCAGCTTTTTTCGTCTCGAATCTAAGGTAAATCCTCAAGCAATAAATTCCTGTAGCCTTTCCTGAAACAAATCCAAGACATATCCTATTCCAATCCTTTAGAATGGGTTGAAAGTAAAAGATCTATGTTTTTTCTTTTATATCTGCCTATGTGATTTCCGTGTTGACAATATATGTTCAAAATGGGATATAGGTAAAAATTTTAAGACATTTTATAAATGGAAAATAAATATATAAACTAGGTTAATTCAAAATTTATTCGCACTTTCTCCATAACATATCGTTAGGCTTGTCACACCGCCTTCTGCTCATGCGTGCTTAAAGTTGGTTCTATTGTGATCACGTGACCGAAGTTTGAGCATGATCGCGCCAGTTTTATTGCTGCTGTTACAATGTAAACATGGCCTCTCCGCTAGCAGTGTGCACCGAGCAGGAACAGAGAGCAGTGATCCGCATCCGCAGGGAACATACCACCTTATAGGTGATAACACGCTGGTTCGCCATTATCAACTCTCGAGATGGCTGTATCTTCTCGTCAGTGGTGGAAGTTGACTGGCGCCTGTGTCACCTTTTTCCGTTCATTTTAAACTACTCGATCCACTCATACACACTTCTACGCGGTAGGGCACTGTCACCGTATTGTGTTAAAAGCCCCCGATGCATTTCATCCCCTGACACATTCCGACCAGAGAAAACGGATAAATAGAAATAGACAGGTTTTGATAGATAGATAGATAGATAGATAGATAGATAACGGGATATATATATATATATATATATATATATATATATATATATATATATATATATATATATATATAAAAGAGAGAGAGAGAGAGAGAGAGAGAGATAGGAATAGCCAGAAATAGAATTGAATGGCCAGAGATAGAATTGAATGGCCAGAGATAGATAGATAGATAGATAGATAAGAATAGCCAGAGATAGAATTGAATGACCAGAGATAGATAGACAGATAGATAGATAGATAAGGATAACAATATATATATATATATATGTATATATATATATATATATATATATATATATATATATAGATAGATAGATAGATAGATAGATAGATAGATAGATAGATAGATAGGAATAGCCAGAGCTAGAAACGAATGGCCAGAGATAGAATGGAATGACCAGAGATAAAATGGAATGGCCAGAGATAGATAGATAGATAGATAGAAACAGGTTAAGATAAATAGTTAGATAGATAGATGGATATAGATAGATTAGGGATAAACTTATATATATATATATATATATATATATATATATATATAGATAGATAGATAGATAGATAGATAGATAGATCGATAGATAGATAGATAGATAGGGATAACCATAGATAGATAGATAGATAGATAGATAGATAGGAATATCCAGAGATAGATAGACAGGAATAACCATAGATTGATATGAATATTCTTTATAGTTATTATAATTTCGTTAACTAGAGTATATTAGTTTGTTCATATATGTCTACATTTTTTCATTCAATGTATCTTTTTCAATTTTTATCTATCAATAGTTACCCTTATCTATTAATATATATCCTTTGATAGATAACTATCAAAGTTTCTCTCTCAATGAACAGAATAAGATAGATAGATAGATAGATAGATAGATAGATAGATAGATAGATAGATAGATAGGTGTTTTCAGTAAGACAGATATGATTTGAAAAGGTAATATAAAATGAAAATAGTAGGCATATATAAACACGCTGAGATAGTTTAGACAACAAAACTATAATAACTGCAAAATCGGTGGCGTTCTGGATCGATCTGTAGAATCCATATTTTCCAGTCGAATGCTCTGCCAACTAACCGACTTCTTGCCTAGCGCTCCCTATAAATATAAGCCTTCACTTAAAGGGCCGGAATTTATTAAATAATCACATGTCCAGGTATAAAGGTCACATGAAAGGGAACGCCACATCCCCGTCACTGATCTAATTCCTTTTCATCCGACCACAACTAGACCTTGGTTCCAAGTGGAAACTCTCAAGTACTCAGTCATGCGCAAATCGAAATCTATAACCCACCAATTACACCAACACATACGAATTAATTTGTTTATCAAAGTCGTTCGTCTTTACGTTAACATCTATATGGATTTGTGGAGTTCGATTTACAAATAACAGATCCGTTTGTAGATAGCGGTTTTCCTGCTTCTCGAATTATGCTCTCGAGGAAAAACAGTCGAGGCCATTTTGCATGTAATATCCGGCCGATTAAGCCATTTTAGGATGTATACAATAGCCACGGGATAAAGATGGCGGATAGACTGGCGCGCTTATGCGTTGTTGCTCTTCCGTGGAAGCAAAATCTATTTTGATATTTAAATTTGGCTAAATGGACAGATTTGGAGAAGAAGGAAGAAATACTATCTTATCCGTATAAAACATGGAGTAGAAGAGAATGCTAGTTAAATCCTGATTGGATTTCCCTTTTCAAAAAAAAAAAAAAAAAAAGAAAAAAATTAACGGACGTATGATCATTGAAAGACAGGACATTGGGTATAATGGCAAGGGAAGTGGAAAAAGGAGATGAAGAAAAGAATGGAAAGGGGCAGTAATGCAGTTGTATTGTAAATATAAATATATATCTACACACACACACGCACATACACACACACACACACATATATATATATATATATATATATATATATATATATATATATTTATGAATTCCTTTTCAAATAATGTGTATTAAAAATGTGTTTACTGCCTATTTGGCGAACTGTATCACTGGAATAGCTTACAAATCGATATATTTTATTTTTTTTAATCAAGTCTAAATTTATTCCCGTATTTCTATGTCAAATTTACCTTCGTCTGCTAAAACACGACCGGGATAGACTTCCTTAATTGAGTGATTTTGATTCGTGTCTGACATCATATGCTTTTTCTCTTACTGACAACCACATACCATCCTTTTTAAATTGATGATTAGTCCTTTCTTCACGCTTTCCTTTACCACCTTTATCTAGAAGTACTTTCCTTTTCTTTCTATATCTTTCATCCCCATATTGCCTTATCAATATAAAACATGGAGCAGACGAGATTACACTTGTGGCAAATGATATAAATCTACTGTAGATCTTCACTGTGCAATTAGATAAAGCAATTGAAGCCGTACGACCAGACACCATTACTGCCCAGAAAGAAGAGAAAGAGTTTTGGATGAGTAGAGGTAAATGTTTGCTGAGAAAAAAAGGTCGAAAGCTCTGAAGAGTACTGATAGCACCCTTGGGCAGATTTACAAATCCAGAAGTTGTTCCTGTTACTGTGGGTACCTTTGGCACAGTGACAGACAAAATAAGAAAAACGGCTGTGTGAAATTGGCAACGTAACTCGATCTGGTAGTACTTAAGAAAACAACGCTGCTTCCAACAGACATAATTCTGAGAAAGGTTTAGTTGATGGAGAGGGATCAGGAAGCGATAAACACATGATTAGGATACGCTTCTGATCACTAAATTACTGTTATAATAAAAAAAATAATAATAATAATAATTAAAGACCACAAACGAAACGATGCCTCCTTATTGATATGGCAGTCCCTGCTGACTGCAATGTATCTTTGAAGATATTCAAAAAGTTGTCAAAGTACAAGGACCTTGAAATAGAAATCTCGAAAATGTGGCATATGGGAACATCAACAATCCCTGTTGTAGTTGGAGCCCTAGGACTGGTTGGAAAAGATTGCAGCAGACTAATTGAAGGGATTTCTGGAAGTCCATGCCTAAAGGAGATACAAAAAATTGTTCTGACGAGTACAGCCCACACCTTACGAAGGGCTTTATCTATGTAATTTAATTCTTTTTTTTTTTTTGTCAGTGGAAAGTGTCATGACGCCATTTCTAACCTAAGGTCCCTGGGCAGGACCCGGAAAGAAATGTGTAAACGCCAGAAATCATAGAAAATAATAATAATAATAATAAATTCTTTAATGCCTTTTTATATGTTATGGTAATTTACCTATGTACGCATGGAAACTCCCAACTATAAATAGGATCAGGTACTGCCTTTTGGAGAGGGAAGTTTCCAACAGTCAGCTCTGACAGTCGGACCAAAAATTCTTGCTGTAACACTCTTGTTTGTATATGTTTTGTATTACTGTTTCTGTTAATATATTTGTTTAACTCAATTCTTTTCACTGTATCGTATTTCTGGCGCTAACAAGGCCACAATAGATAGATAGATAGATAGATAGATAGATAGATAGATAGATAGATAGATAGATATGAACAGACTGGGATAGATATATACAAACAGGCTGAGATCGATAGATAGATAGTGTTATAATAATTTACCCACACACGAATGGACTCTCCCAGCTATAAATAGGAGCAGGTAGTGCCTTTTGGAGAGAGAAGTTTCCAGCAGTCAGCTCTGACAGTCAGACCGAACATTCTTGCTGTAACATTCTCGTTTTATATGTTTGTATTACTGTTTCCGTTAATATATTTGTTTAACTCAATTCCTCTCTCTATGTCTTTATTTATGGCGCCAACAAGGCCACAACAGATAGATAGATAGATAGATAGATAGATAGATAGATAGATAGATAGATAGATAGATAGATATGAACAGACTGGGATAGATATATACAAACAGGCTGAGATAGATAGATAGATAGATAGATAGGAACAGAACCAGATAGATAGATAGATAGATAGATAGATAGATAGATAGATAGTGTTATAATAATTTACCCACACACGAATGGACTCTCCCAGCTATAAATAGGAGCAGGTACTGCCTTTTGAAGAGGGAAGTTCCCAGCAGTCAGCTCTGACAGTCGGACCGAACATTCTTGCTGTAACACTCTCGTTTGTATATGTTTGTATTAACTGTTTCTGTTAATATATTTGTTTAACTCAATCCCTCCCTTTGTGTCTTTATTTCTGGCCCCTAACAAGGCCACAACATTATACTATGATGATCCACCTGTACAAGTCTCAAGAACCACTCGAGGCTTACAGAGTAAGAGTCACAGTTTACGGGGATATGTGGGAAATGTCTCGTATGACTGATCGGCAGAGGAATTTGCTCCCCAGCTGATCAATCATTCGTAGTATTTACTGAAGATTCCAGGAGACCATTCCTTCCCAGGCAGTAGCTCTCCTTCGGAAAGAAGCTGTGTTTATTGCCCGGCGTCTGAGACATCCTAAACACGAGGAAGTGCTAAGTGGGATTTCCCACGGTATTGCCGATAAACCCACATGAAACTAGACCTTGTGCCACATTTCGCTGCGTCGTGGACACAATGTCTAAATTCCATATGGCGGTGATAACGGTTAGTGCTAGACATGGCTAGTTTAAGATTGTAGAGATCGTGGAAGCATTCCCTTATGAGTTGGTTTCACAAAGATGTGGCTTGTGGAAAGAAGCTGTTCAATTGGAAGTTACATCTCACTAATGGAAAAAGAAATCTTGTCTCGGGAAACAGCTACACGACCCCGTTTTTTACGGGGTCTACGAGGAATTTTTGACCGAGCCTACTGGCTCGGATACCCCACATTAAATTCGGCTTTGTGCCACATCTGACCGCATGTGAGCGGTAGGAGGATATCCATCAGTTGTAGATTCATTGTGGAATTCACTTGAGTCACTTCTAGCAGTTGACTACTTCTTCTGCGCGCCACTGGCGAATCTTATATGTGTTGTTCTTGTCCTAAGTATTATCGTTCATTACCAACATTCGTGTGATTATTCTATTTAGTAACCTTCTCTAGTTTGCAACAATATATATATATATATATATATATATATATATATATATATATATAAAAGTGAACATAAAGTCAACACTTAGGGCGACAGTCTGTTTCATGCTATATGCAATCGTCAGGCCACCACGATTGCATGTATGCAGACTTTATGTGTTGACTTTATATTCATTTACACGCTTCTATCTCTGATATTGAGCACTTTATTCCATAAATATAGCATACCTTAAGACTATATTTCTTTATATATATATATATATATATATATATATCTGTGTGTGTGTGTGTTGAATAGGTTATAGAATGCCTACAAAGTTTTGAAAATAATTGACAGATGGAAAAACGTTTAATTGAAACCAGATTTCTTTACGCGTTTCGTCTTTCTAGTCTTCATCCGACCCAAAGCGAAAGAAAGGAATGTGTTCATGTGCATTTTTGTGTATGCTTACATAGTAAATCATAGGACTTTTGTCTCTAACTTGGTGTTAAAGAAGAAAAAAACGAGTGAGAAAGAGCGCGAAATTTAGGCTTGGTGGCACAAAGGAATGGAGTTTGTCTGAACACTTTCCATTGAAACATCGACTGATCTGCGAGAAGCTTGCGACGTTTCGTCTGGGGCAAAGTTTTGGTTGAGTGGAAAATAATTCATCACCCACAAGGAAGCGGAGACGTTTTTGGACTCTATTGAGAGAGGAAAACGAGAACTGGACAGCTTCTGCCCATAAACGTTCTCTTTACGATCATTTGATGCACTTATTTCATAATGGAATCGTCTGTGTTTGCTCACTGGCGATCTGTGTTCAAACTACGGTGTCGGCAACGACACTTTATTCGTCTACAACAAAAAACTTAATTAATTAGAACAGAAAACTGTACATTTAACTCATGAACAGGCATTTTTCTTTGTCACTTTTTGACATTCATATTGTCTGAGAGTTTATATGATTCGCAGTGGAGGAATACATCCAGATATCAATGTTTTTTTTTCTATTATTTGCAATCCGTTTTATGCTCACGATATCAATTTACCAATTGCCTTGAGCAGACACACATAAAATTATTTGTAAGTGTTATTAAAAGCAATTCATCATTGCGAAAGACGAAATAATAATTATGGTATTATAAATCAGAAAAGAAATAATTTTTTTTAAGTTTCCGGATACTTTCAAATATGGCAACTTAAGCAACAACTCGAATGGATACACGAAGGCATATTTGCATTGTGTATATATTATACACGCGTGTGGACGTATATACAAATATTTTCCAATTTGCATATATATATATATATATATATATATATATATATATATATATATATATGTGTGTGTGTGTGTGTGGATGTTGAGAGTGTGCGGTAAAAATCTCAGGTGGGCTAAAATATTTAAAAATAAATCATGCCGTTGGCGCCTACAACAATACGACAGGGAGTTTAACATGTTCTATCCGTCAAGGTATATCTAAATATCTCTCAGCACTTAAAAGGCATCTTCACAGACATGCCACCTTCTGTGCCAGTCGAACAAGGATTCATTGTATATTTGGCAACATTTCTAGGCAGAAAATTATAAATAAGCCAAAAATAGTCTTTGTCGACTGGCAACACACA